GAGGTGTGACCACCCCCCGCCGCTCGCCGTGCGCATGGTCCGCACCGCTGGGCCAAGAGCTGATGAGCCCCTGCATGGCGAGGTGCCATTGGACGGCTCCGCCTACAGGGTCCAGGACCACATCATGGCCCGCGCGGGCTGGGCAGCTTGCGCCACCGACCCCACAGGCGCCGAGCTCTCCAGCATCTTCGGCCCAGTGCAGTGGCCCTGGCCCCAGGAGTCGGGAGCGGGCGAGCTGCTGGCCGCGGCTGAGGCGCTGGCGCATGCTGTGCCCGCGCTCCATTTGTTCAGTGACTCGCAGCTCCTGGTTGACGGCTGGGAGGCTGGCGAAGAGTGGTGCGCAGGATGGACAGACCATACCGTGAGATTTGGTAGCTTTTCTGACATCGCGCGGGCGACGTCGGTTGCGAGCACATCCCGATAACCAAAGTCAAAGGCCACGCTTCCATGATTGATCAGCACAGCGGCGTCATCACTTTCTGGCAGCGTCAAGGCAACAGTTGTGCAGATGCCCGTGCAGAAGAAGGCGCGAGCTGTCACCCTTTTTGGCCCACGCTCGCTGAAGCTGCCACTATCGCTGATGAGCGGGTGGTGGTGAGCTTGGGTCGGGGGGTGGGGACGGCGGCGCAGGAGGGAGACTGATGGCTCAGGGCTGGGGAAGGGTTCAACCCACCTGGCCTGGCCGCCATCAGATGCACGGTGCCGTGTCGTGCGGCGCATGTGCTGCCAGGCCATGCCCGCGGCACGGCTCATCCATCGTTTCAGTTTCTGGAGTTCTTTCCTGGAGTTGCCTCGCCTGCCCCTCCCGAGGGACCCCGATCCCCGCCCGCGCTTGCCCGGCGACCTCTGGAGGGGAGGGTCAGGCGGGGAGGCCAGGCTTCGCCATCGCGGCGCTGGTGGCAGGAGCTGCCGCCGCGGCCGCGAGCGGGGGAGAGGGGGCCAGGAGTGAGGAGGAGCAGCAGCCTGTGCAGCAGCAGCAGCAGGCCCCAGAGGGCGGAGGCAGCACTACTAGCATGGGACCTCCAGGGGGGCAGCCGAGTGCGGCGGTCAGTTTCTGGGAGGAATTGCCCCCCTGGTGGCATCTACGTTTCGACAGATCGCATGCGTTGTACCGAGCAGGGGGGGTGGCCTTTTGCTCGAGGCGCGGGGCCCACACGTCGTTCACGCGAGTGAAGGGCCTCGTCGAGCCGTGCCTCGGCCCCCCCCTGGGAGCGTATAGAAGAGCGTTTGAACAGAATGAAGAGAGGGTTCCAACCTTCAAAAGGTGGAGCCCACGCCGAGCTCGGCCCGCCACGCCCTATCCAGGCCGAGGCACCCCGAGGTACGTAATGTAGTTGAGCGGTGGGCGACTGCGATTCGGCGGCGACCCTCCTTGGGAGAGCGGGGTCGTCAGCATCATCATCATCATCATCATCATCATCATCATCATCATCAGCATCATACATCAACACATCAACTTCAGATCATCATCGCTCATCATCCTCCTCATCACCCCCATAATCATCATCATCATCTCATCATCATCATCATCATACATCATCAGTCACATATCATCATCATCAGTCAATCATAATCTATCATTCATCATCATCAATCATCATCATCACATCATCATCATCATCATCATCATCATCATCATTCATCATCATCATCATCATCTCATCAGCACCATCATTCGTAGCATCAAAACTTGTTTTGCGGTGGAAGCGAGTGGGTTGAGCCGCCTTAGCCGTTTGGGCTCAAGGCGAGAGGCGGGGGGAGCAGACCGCGGGGCTGGCGGATGCGGCGCTGGGGGCTGCTGGAGCGGCGCGGAGCGGCGCGGGGCCAGCAGATCGTGGCGCAGCCCGTGGGGCCCTACCAGTTGATGGTCGCGGGCCTCGTGGTGCTGATCGCTGATCGTTGGGGGCCATGGGGCAGCCGCAGTGCCGGCCGCCGCGGCGGCGATCGTGCCGGCGATAGGGCCTCCTTTCCCTGGCGTGGTGCATGGTGGGGCTGTGGCGCCGGCGACGGTGGGCACTGGCGTCCGCTGGCGCTCGGCCCAGACGCTCGGGGGGGCCCGCTACGCGGACGAGGCCGACGGCTACGTGGTTGCGGCGGCGGTGGTGCGCGGGCGCGGTCTGGGCGCGGTGGCGAACGGGAGCGCGCTCTTCGTAGGGCAGGTTGCGTCCGGGGACCCCGAGGCGTTCATGGGTCGGGCCGAGGCGGCTGACCTTCACGTGCTGCACATCGCGCGGATTGGTTCTCGGCGTGAGGTGACCAGGTCCGTGATGGCTGCTCGCGTCCGCGATGGGGACTTCGGGGGAGATTGGCTCGCGGCTGGGCCTCGCACTGCGTTCGGGTGCATCGACTGCATCAGCAGCGAGGGCGCGGGGGTTGACGGGCGTCGTGACCGATCGCGTGCAGTCGCCAAGTTTTGGCCAACACAGTGGGGAGTGCAAGAGCATTGCCCATGCTCACAGTACATCCGATTCTAGGTGCTGCCTGACCAGTGCGACGGCGC